CCTGATGCTGGCAAAACTACCTACGTAGCTGAATAGTCATTTAGGTAACAATAACTGATACAAGAACACAACAGCACTCACCAGTTGAAACCAGCGCTCCCTAGAAGGAATCTGAACTAGAGCTGAAAGCAGACTGCATTCCTCCACTCCCGGCTTGGGCTTGTGGGAAGCGTGGCCCCAAGGACGGGGAGGGGAGTGGCCCCCCTCCCTCCTCTCACATAGATGCCCAATGGCTCTGCCCTGTTCAAATCAAACTGCCAGGCAAAAATGAGGCTGTAGCTTCTTTGTCCAAGATCCCAGAGAGTGTCTCCATCTTACAGCTACTGCTGGGGTCGGGGGAGGTGAGCAGGGGGACGTGGCTTTCTCCAGCCCCACACAGACACAGCATGCTGGGCTCCTCTTATGAAGACGTGTTTCATGTCCTCCCTGGCATCACTTTGACTGCCAGGCTCCCACAGGCTTCATTAATTGTTCAACTACTCCATAGCTTAAGGTCCCCCCAACCAGTGGCCCCCACTCACTCAGCCTTCATCTCATCTGACTCAGTAGCCACAACTGACACACAGTTCTTCATCCTTGAAGCACTTTCCAGATGCCATACTCCCCTCGTCATCTTCCTCCCTCCCACTGTCCCTTCTCAGTCCCTCTGAGTCCCCAGGACTCAGCCCTGGGACCTTTCCTCTCTCCTCCATCTACACCCACCTCCCTTGATGGTTTCATCAGGTTCACAGCTTTAAAACGCACCCAGAAGCTATCAGCTTCCAAATACAGTCCATCCCCACTACACGGGGATTCCATATTTGCAAATCTGCCTACTCGCCAAAATTCACGTGTACCCCCCAAATCAATGCTTAGGATGCTTCTGCGGTCATTTGTAGACACGCACAGAGTGGCCGCAACTTGGAGGTGCACGTGCCCAGCTGAGGTCAAACACGGCAACGCTCTGCCCCCTTGTTTGGTCTATGAGTGTAGTTTTCACGGTCTAGCCAGTGCCACGGTTTCCACATGTTTGTGCATTTTGTTGATTTCATTATTACAAATGGCCCCCAGGTGTCAGCGCTGAAGAGCTGTCCGGTGTTCCTGAGCACAAGAAGGCCAAGTGAGCCTCATGGGGAAATGGGAAAAAAGCTAGATCAGCTTCCTTTAGACACGAGTTACAGTGCTGCTGGCCTGGCTTCAACGTTAATGAACTACTACTACATAAAGTGTCGCTGAACAGAGAGACACACATACAACAAGGCTAAGTATCGACCAGTTGATGTCAGCGCTGGGATCAGAGGCTCACGGGAACCCAAATTCATTTTTTCCCCTGGGAGCAGCAGCTCAGCATTTGTTAATTCACACTCACCGCGACCTTATGGAACATAACTACTTGGCGTAATGAGAATCTCCCCACAATTCCAGATGCCTTCCTTACCTTTATCAGATCTGAATCCAAACCCCTGGTGATATTTCTGCAATGTCCTCCTCCACATTTTTTTCCTTTTTGATGCAGGTACTGAGGGTTGAACCCAGGACCTTGTGCATGCTAAGCACATGCTCTGTCACAGAGCTGTACCCTCCTTCCTCCTCCCATATCTTAATTAAAGGCCACTACACCCTTCCAGGTGCTCAGGTCAAAAACCTTGGAATTAACCTTGACTTCTCTCTTTCAAATCCGACTTTTACTTTTACAGAAATTCTTGGTGACATTATCTTCACATTATATTCCAAACCTGATGATTACTCATCACTTCCACTCTGCTGACCGGACTGAGTTCTCACTATTCTCACCTGGATAGTTCCAGAGACTTCTAACTGGTCTTCACCCTGGCCCTGCACCCCCATCATCTCTCCTTATCCCAGCCAGTCCCCTACAGGGATCCTGGTAAAAGTTCGATCATGTTGTGTCTTACTCAGAACCCTCTGATGGCTTCCCACCTCCCAGTCTTGACAATGATTTCTAAGTCCTGGTCTGCACATGCTCTGCCCATTACTTCTCTGACTTCCTGTTTTCTCATCCTGTTCCTGTTGCTACTCCCCCCCCCCACTCCTGCCTCAGGGCCTTTGCACCATCCTTGGAATGCTCTTCCTTCCCAAAACAGCATGACCAGCTCCTTCACATCTAGCAAATCTTTACCCCATTGTCACCTTCTTGGTGAGGGCTGCTTGATCAGTGTATTTAAAATTACAACCCCGTACACACACACACACACACACACACACACACACACTTACTTTCTATTCTCTTTCCTGCTTTATTCTTCTCCATAGCACTTGTCACTATCTAAGATACTAATTAATATATTAAGCTGTTTGCTTATAGTCTGCCTCTCTCTCACTCAAATGTTAAGTACTATGAGGTTGGGGATTTTTATCTGCTTTTTTTTTCTTTCTCCTGATATATCCCCACTGCTAGAACAGAAGGTGGGCACTAAATAAGTAATTTCTTGAATGATAAATAATGTAGCGCTTATCATACATCATTCAGTTTACTTGTTAACCCTCTGGCTCTCACAATTCTGTGAATCTTTGGCGGTCAGAAACTGTCTAATTCATATTTGTATACATAACACCGAACTACTGTGTAGGACACATACCAGGAATTCCATAAATGCATGTTGAATGAATGGAAAGGGAGCTGAGGAAGAAAAATTGCTATTTCCATGAACCTTAGGTTTCTATTCAATTCAACAAGCACCTGTGCAAAGATGAGTACGACACAGCCCCTGCTCTAGTGCAGTGGGGGACAGACACAGATAAATACAAACCCTGATGGGATGGGATCTAAGCCATGACAAGAAAAGGTAAAGAACCAGGATGATAAAGGAGAGGATGGGTGATGGGAAAGCAACCAAAAGGGGGTCATGTAAGCTGGGTTTTGATGGCTGAATAGGAGCTTGCCATGCAGACTGTTATGGAGGAACAGCCCAAGCTCAGCTGCTCTCTGCCCAAGGCATGTCTGCGTGGACATGGCCTTGCCAATGTTGTCTCTTCCTTGCTCTAGAAGGTCTCCCAAGAGTCTTCTTGGTGCTTAATAAATACGAACACAGTATCACTATATTCCCATAGTCCATGACTTCCCTTTCCCCACTCAAAGAAAACTCTGTATCTGATGACAGAATTACCCGATGGCTCTACTTGCCACCTTTTAGGGTGGTAAGGGCAAGGGCCACATCCAAACATCATTCCCAGTTCCCAGACTCATACACGTCCGACATCTAAACAGAACCAGACCGCTCGGACGGCAGCCACTCAGAAACCCAGAGAAAACCGCTATTCCATAGACTCTGCCAAGACACAAAAAAGCAAAAAGCAATTTAGAAAGTGCTAGAGATTTCCAACATCAGAGTCAAATGAGACAATGGTGTGATGCACGTGTAAATATGGACATTCTTTATCAGAACACCTAAATTGCAGCCCGAGAGCCTCGCTGGGAGGCTATAGCATCCCCAGTTCCCTGGCCCTCCATGGCCTGGGCAGCAGCCCCTGCAGAACAGAGCAAAGCCACTCTGGACAGGAGACTGGCCCCATGACCTCACAGGCCTTTCCTTTTTCTGATGTCTATTATTCATCACAGTTGGAACAGGCTTTTTTTCCTCCCATCTCTTAAGAGAAATGAGAATAAGTTTGTCTCATTCATTTTTATTTGCTGCTTGCTTGGTGGCTTGGACTGAACTGGAGAAATTCCACACACACACGCACTCACATTTCCACCCACAGCCCCCACCTCTGGGCATACACAGGGGTTACACATCATCTCTCATCACAGCTGCTGGGTCCCCCTGGTGGGGTCCGGCTCTTCCTGAAACCATCACTTTTTACCCTACAACGGAGATGGCTAGCCCTACCATTAATCTCCCTCAGATGCATTGGCTTCTTAAACACGACCAGAACTCTGTCTCCTTCTCTGCCCAGTGCGTATACACGACCCAGGGACAAAGTCCTGGCCTGCGACAGTCGAGGGCTAGGAGGTGCTGACTACACCCTTTCCTCCCCTGCCACCTTTCGCCCCATCTCGACACCTCTTAAATCTCTATTGCTTCCTTCCTTCCCCCTCATTTTATTCTCTGTTCCCTCAGTTCTGTTCTTTTCACCTCCGAGTTCCTTTAAAAATGCAGGAGCTGTGACCTAACAGTGGTGACTTAACACCCATTGTCACGCAAGCACTTGAAGGGCCCTGAAGTGCCTCCAAGGTCATTCAGAGTTTCCCACAATGCTCTGGGCCCCAGACCAGTTTAGTGTGAGGCCTGCTTTCCTCAGCCTGCCGGTCTCATTCACTGTCCTCACCCCAGGGCCCAGGACAGCGTCTGGTACATGGCAGGCATTTTAATACACATTTGCGGGATGAACAAATACATTCACAGGTTTCAAAAATGTCACACACGGTTCCAACGGCCCTTCTCCAGGGCTGAGAAGATGGAAGAGGAGTCTTAGGATGTCAGTATCCAGATCTGCCTGCATTCTGTATGTCTGCGTTGTCAGCTTTGCCTGCATTCTGTATGTTATGTCTGGGACAAAGGATGTGGGGTTCTGATTTTAGGAAAAACTTTAATTCTTGGCTTCTCTGGGGCAGATCAGGACTGGCTAATTACAGAGAGTGAGTTCATCAAGGTTTGAACCAGACTCCTCCCATCAATGTTTTCTTTCTAGCTGCTTCTATTGCAACATTTTCAGTGTTCCATGTGTGTCTGCACCTTACTGTTACCTCTGTGTGTCCCTGTAAGTCATTTGAAAACATAGATGCCCATGCAACACTTCTGGCCTTAGAACCTGGGAACTCATCCAAGTCAATTCCCGGCCTCCAGTCAGGCCCGCACCCAAGTCAAACAGGAGTTCTACCCAACTCTTAAAAGGTTTCAGGGGAAATCACTTCCCTTCAAACTTGTTCCAGTGTCTCTCAATCTTTTTATTCCTCCCTCAGGGGGAATGAAGGCTGTGATCACGTGCTAGGCTCAACTGCTTAAGAAGACCGATCAAGTCGGCAAGCTGGAAAGCACACACACACACAGGGTCCTTACCGACATAGCCTGGGGTCCCACACGCGGTGGACATCACGTCGCCTTTGCCCTCCATTTTGGACAATCCAAAGTCACTGATCATTATTTTGGACTCCTCATCTTGACTGTAGTACAAAAGGTTCTCAGGCTAGAAGGGAAGTTAGAAAAACAAAATTTACAAACCACGTTGAAAGCTGGGTTAACTGCGGGAGACTCACCCAGCCACCAAAGCTTAAAGTCACAGCTGAAGAACAGATCTGAACTTTTGGACACAGTGAGCGCATTAAGAAAAGCAGTGTTTGATGAAAGCAGTTCAGGGGGCCTGGCATGGTAATGGGCACTTACGGGTTTCCAATAAATGCTAGTTCCTCTCCCTCATTGGTATTTGGTCTACTTGAAAAAAACGAGCCGTTTATTGAGGCAGTTAGGAAGCGATTCCTCTCACGCTTGTCAGTTCATTTCTTGGGTTAGGGGAGACACTCCCGGAGAGAAGGTTGCTTTCACGGGTGCTGTTCTGTTTCTCTTTTCTGACCCCTGTCAGCAACCTGTCTCTAACCCAAGGGACTCTCTCCTTGCCCCCAGGGACATCCGCATCCCGGGGTTCTGGCAGATGCATGGCACCCCCACCCCTCCCTGGACAGCTGACACCCACTCGCTCGGCTCCCCGGGAGCAGTGGGAGGTCATCACGGAATGACTCAGAGTTGGAAGATCCAGCACTTTCTAGCCACGTGTCCGAGGTACTCCAAGCTTCTGCTTGTCTATCTGTAGACCCTGGGTTGTGACGTTTCCTTGTCTGCCTCCCTGACTGTACATGTCGGAGCTCAGGCAGCAGTAATGCAGGACGTGCAGTGAAGGCCCGAGGACAGCCCCATCTCCACTACAGCCCTGCACGCCGGGGGCGCCTCCAGGGCGTCTACGCGGGAGGGGCTTAAGCGTGGCGGTCCTGAGGTTGACCTGGAAACAGTGCAGCTTTTGCAATTTTCTTATGGGAAACTGGGGAATCTGGTTGTTCCCAGCGAAAAATAATGGAGACAGGGCTTATGGAGACTGAAGGAGTTCACAGCCCCAGGGCCTGGGCCTGAACACAGGAGAGGCGCCTGCATGTTTTCATTTTTCAACGTTGTTTCAACTGATGACATCGTGGCTGAGGGAGACGAGGTCAAGGACTGACAGCTCCACCATCATCCAGTAACATGAACCTGCACTGGGAAAGCCGTTCCCCACCCCCACCCCCGACGGTTCCTGCCCGGCTCCCCTCCCGACCCCAGGGGTGAAGCCATAGTCTCTCTTGTCAATGGTTTGTGGTGAATTTTTGGTTTCTAAGCATTGGCTTTTCAAAGCTATTCTTAGGCAGAGTGACTACACTGTACATCCAAGACTTGGAAAAGTGTTGAGAAAAGTGGTTCCCAGCCTGGCTGTGCAGCAGAACCAGTCCCCTGTGAGGGCATGAAACATCTTCAGCAATTTGAGACTGGGCCCAGGTCTCTGGGGCTTAGAAGTCCACGGGGGCTTGTGGGGTGGGCTTCAGAGGTACGACCACTGCCAGGAAGAAATGGTGAGAACTGACCAAGAGTCCCTCCTTGACCAGACTTCCGTCAGGCTCCTCTGCACCCTCTTCTCCACCCAGCCTTGACCTTGGCCGTCTGTGTCCTTCCTGCTCTTGCCCCTCCCACAAAGCCCAGTCTTCGCAAGAATCTAGCCACCTCTCTGAGAACCCCTCTCCCCAGATAGCTCGTCAGGTTGCCCCACCCCTCTCCCCGACTTTTGATGATGTTGAAAAATAAATGATTCAGACACATGCGGAAAATCCTAAGGAAGGTTTTGTCCAGGGGAGCCCTCACTGCAGCGGGGTTTTGCAGTAGAAGAGGAAGATTCGACTCCACCCCTAACACAACAAGGACAAGTGGGGATTTACAGCCTGGGAGCCGGGTGGGGTCGGGGAGGGGAAATTACTAGGGAGGGTAAGGGGGATTCTGGCTGCACCAACTTAAGGAGTTTTGCAGAAGGCAGGTGAGGGGGGTCAGCCACAGAGGGCGGGGGAAAAGGAATCTGATCAGGTTTCAAGGCTGGGGGTTTATCTTGACGGGACTCGCCGGGGTTCTTGCTAAGACCGGACTATGCGGGCAGCCAATCAACCAAGCGTGGAGCCCAAGGGCCAAGCCTGGTCAGAAAGCAGACTCCATGGGGCCCGCCTCCGGTCTGGTCAAAGGACAGAGTCTGTCAATGTCCAGGTCCTTTGCCACCTTTGACAAGAATCCCCTACCCTCGCTGTCTCCTCTCAGGGACTTTCCATCCATGGCCCCTCACTCTGCTCAGTGGATATACAGCTCCACATGGCCTCATTGAACTTGGAATGGAGCCCAGTTCCCTCCCCTAATGCAACACCCTTCTCACAACAGTCTTGAATAAAGCCTTCCTGACCATTTTAACATGTCAGAATTGTTTTATTTTTCTTTAACAGAACCTAAAGGAAAAAAAATACTACCCTTCACCCAAAAATAACATGACAAAAAGGAACAGAAAGGGATGGTGTTTATCATTCACAGCGACATAACTTCTGTGGATGAAGCATCAGATTAGAAGAAAATCAAATGTATGCTGAGGAGGCTTTCAATGAGTTATAAAATGGAATAAAATGGGCCAGTCAACAGTGGAAATAAAAATGACGGTTAGAAAGGGGAGGGAACTAGTGGAACCCAACAGCACGTGGTTCCTGTTTTCCCTGAATGCTGACGGAGGAGCCTTCGATGAACAGTAAGAGTCCAATCATGCGTGCAGAGAGGACTTTTTTTTTTTAAGTTTATGATTTTTCACCTTCCTGTCCTGGGACTCCTGCAGCTGTAAAGTCAACGATCCCATGCTCCTAAACCAGGCTGCGTCCAGGCTGGAGATGGCCAAGGAACCCAGACCTCTCCTTCCTCCTACAGGAGATTCATTTGGATCAATAAATTGCTCTTTTGAAGGACAAGTACCAAGGAGAGTTCAATTGACTGTTCCTTCTCAGCCTAGGTCTGTACTGTCTCAAGACTTAGAAAAGACAGCAGGGCTTTTCTTGGAGAGGGAGACGGGGGGAACAGGGGAGAAAGTGGGAGAGAAGACGGGCTCAGATAATCAGGCGGAGACCCTCCCCTTTGGCAGGAGGAGGGCTGTGGGGGGCGAGGGGCCAGGGAAGGGAGGGAATCCTACAGTTCTACCTGGGGTCCAGTGGGGCCTAGGACTCCCCTAAAAAATTATTTTTCTTTATTTTATGGCATCTCTGGAAGACAACTGGTGGCTAATACTTGACTTGGAATGTCCATTCCAACGCTTTAATACTTCACATAAGCTCTTAAAAGATCTGAATCAATACTTCCCATAAAGTTAATGTTATACATAATCATACTTCTAATCTAGTGATTCCCAACTGGGGGCAGTTTCACCCTCCAGGGGATATTTGGTAATGCCTAGAAATATTTTTGGTGGTCAGAAGCTTAGAAGGTGGTACCGGCTTAGAGGGCAGAGACCAGGGCTGCTGTTAAGCATCCTCCTCTGCACTGGACGCCCCTTCACAAAGAACAGTCCAGCCCCAAATGTCAACAGAGCAGCCCTGCCCTCATAGGAGGAGGCGGCAGTGGACATTTCCCTTGTTTTGATAAAAGGACAGCTGATCGTCTCTAGTGGCTTCCCGGGGGAGGAAGGCACAAGAATACCCTCCTGAAGGGAGAAGGAGGTAAACAGCCACGTGTGAGGGTGGGGTGGTACCCAAACTGCGCCCTAATCTTAAATGAAACCGATCATGTTCTCTACTGCACTGGCTTGCATCAGAGTTTGTTTTCATTTTCTTAGAGGTTTATGAAAATTCAATTTCCTAACCCCAACTTCCTCTGCATAGATCAAATCTCTTTGTGCCTCTGAAAAGTGGTCACAGAAAGGTTCTAAAATGGTCATGTTCTTTCCACAATTATAACGCTGGTGATCTTCAAGCTCTGCAGGCTGGGAGTGGCACACACGTCTCCAGAAGCATCACGTGGGTGGAAATCACAGCCTCTCCCTGACAGCCAACCTGCCTTCCTAAATGGGAAATAAACATTGCCCATCTAGGAAATGGCTTGGTTTCTAATAAGGACAGACAACTTGCCCTTCACATCACATCTCCACGGTCAGCACACTACCTTGTTCAGAAAGAGTTGCCTGCTGTGTTCTGGAAGCACAGAACTGGCATCTGGTGTGGGCACAAGAGAGCAGAGCAGACACTGCTGCCCAGTTTAGAGGTGCCAGGTCAGCTTCCAGAGCCCTCACCTGGCCCTCAGAAGGACCTCCAGGTCCTCACGATTAACTACTGGTGCGCATGGCCCATGTCACCCACCAAGAAGTCTGCAAAGGGCAAAGGCTGTACGAACTCCATCAGCATTCCCAGATACCCCCATCGGCGGTTCTCCCAGCGTGGGTCCCAGGCCAACATCAGCATGACCTGCAAACCCCTCAGAAGTTCAAGTTCCTGGGCCCCCGCCGCAGACCTGCCGAATCAGAACCTCCGGGCTGGGGCCAGTCATCTGCGTTTTCACAAGCCCTCCAGGCAGTTCTGATGCAGGCTAACATTTGGGAGCCACTATCCTGGTCAATGGAAAATGGTAACAAGGAGAAAAGAAAACATTACAACGAGTCCCTATGAGAAGAAGACTACGCTATTTTGTACCTTGGTGCCCAGTACCGGTAACGGGCAGGTGTTAAATTTCTCTTTTAACACCTGTTTATGACTTAGTCTTTAAGTTGACTTAGATTGCCCAGAGTCATGAATAGCATGGCTTCAGCACAATATAACCCCTGGGTTTCTGATGGGCGTGGGGAGTCTGTGTGCTGGGGTGGAACTGCTATCTTGACCAGCGCAGTGAGCTCTCGGGCTGGACCTGGAACTGCTAAGTAATGAAGCCATGTTACAGCCTTTGGTCAGCAAGGCTGCTTTTCGCTGTTCCTCAGATTGTACTGTAGGTTTGCTATCTACCCTTCGACGACATCCACACAGCCCTTTGGGCCAAGGTGACCAAGTAAAGCCCAGATCCTTCCTTTACAGTGGGAGCTATTGGGGGAAGGGTGAATTATGCCAAAACCTCATAAGGAAAAGATAAGGAGGACCCCAGCAGACACTGGGAGAAAGCTGTAACTGTAGGTCAGGTAACCTAGCTTTCTTTTATTAGCCTTTTATTTCCCTCCTCTCTACTCATGCCCTCTACCCACTCCTCCCTTTCTTCCATGTGGTGTGTGATGCTGGGCTGGGAGAAGGTTCTTCAAGGCCTCTATGTCTTGAACAAAATTACTTTCTAGATAGGCTGGAAGCAATACACAGACTGTCTGCCGGGGGCCCTTTGGCTGCTTCACAGTTATCAAATCTCTGAAACGATGCCAGCCCCATTGATCTTCATCACCCTTCAAGCTACTTCTGGGTCCCAAAAGCTCCAATAAGGAACACTAAACAATGCCCACCATTCATTCTACCCATATCTCCATCAAGGCCACCTCATCCCTCCGTGGGAGCCAGTCCTCTCGGACAGGTGCACTGTGGTGGGAGAGCAGCTGAAGGGTGTTGCTAAGCGACAGCCTCACCTTGAGGTCCCTGTGGACAATGCCCATTCTATGGAGATAGTAGACAGCGTCTAAGACCTGGCGGATCAGAGTGCTGGCATCTTTCTCTGTGTAAAATCCCTTCTCCACTATCCGGTCAAACAGCTCTCCACCAGACACCCTGTTTAAAAAAAAAAAATCAGTGTCAGTTTGAGAGGACCTATTGAATTGTTCAGGGAAGACTATCACTAAGACCTTTCAAGACGGTGAAAGACCCAAATTTTATTTCAGAAATGAATCCATTTTCAGATTTAAAATTTGCCCCCTTATTCCCTGGAAGCTACACCAAGGAAGTGTTTGTGTCAGGGTAGCACAGCTGGTTCCGAATGATGAAAGGAAGTATAAACCAGGACCCATGGACTGAGAAGTCTCTCTTGGCTTCTGGATCCATCTTGCTGGGACAACAAAAAGTCAGAGTAACCTGCCAGAGTGCCAGCATCATCAGTGACAGGGAGATGAGACGGGATAAAACGTCTTCGCATGCGAGGGCAGCCTTAACGGGGTGGGGTAAGTAGGAGGGGGCCTGTGGGCAAAGCGGCAAGCGGCCCACAGGACGTCTGGGTTCTTGGCCCACTTCTGCTCCTAACATGCTGAGAGGATGAGCACTCCTGCAATCTCTGGACCTCAGTCTTTTCAATCTGCAAAATGGGGGAGTGAATCTAGTCAGCCATTCCCTCAGAAGCATCAGAACCTCAAAGTGACTTGTGATTTACAAAAAAAGGAAGAACCACACTTCATTACATTGTTTTGCTTTGATTTTTGGTAAGAATATTTAATTTTAATTTGTTTTGAATTTCAGCTTTCAGTGACCGTTTTGTTTTTTTTTTCATTTATCGAAAGGGGACCTAGGTTGCCAAAGGCCAAAAAGCCCTGGTGGACAACCTCTTAGAGACCCTTTCAGCTCTGATATTTGATGCTTCTGTGAGTTGAACAGAACTGTACAGTCCTGAATAGAACAATTCAACTAGCACCTTAGCCTTCAAGTTCGTGTACACTTCTCTAAGAGAAATAGTGTGCTTTGTTCAAATAATTAAGCCATCTTGGAAATTAGCTTTAAGGGATATATCAGCATCATTTTAATAAAAATGAAACACATTTTCCAAAAACAAAATGGAAAAGATTTGAGATATTAAAATTCGAGATTCATAAACAACTTCTACAGCTTTAAAGACACCCCAGCAGTAACACGCATACACACACCCTCACACACAAAGCGATGACTCACTCTCTGCAAGTAAAGGCAAGTAACATTCAATGACTGAGCCACCGAAATGCTCTTTCAAAAAAACTAATGGAACACAATTGCAGCTACAAAAGGCCTATGTGATGTGCTAGCGTCTCTCACATTACCTATAGTCATTCCAAGCCATATTGTGCTTGGATAATGTCCTGTTTCCAAAGCAAACTGAGCAATCTAGATTAAAGGAGAACGACGCTCAGGAGAAAGAAAGCAATTCAAAGAATGAAAACAAAATTGAAACAACAGGGGAGCAGCTATATTTTGACGACCATGTTGTCTAAATGATCCATCCTGAGGTAAACCAAAATCCCAAGACAGTCCCGCTCAGCAACTGACATCAAGTTCTCGCCAGGCTTCATTCTTCTAGAACCTGCTTCAACGACAGGACGTCCCAGAGCTTGAGGATGTCCCACAGGGGATGCACTGCTGCCAGGGGTTGGGAGAACCTGCGTGCGTTCACTTCACTGAATCATTTATTCAGTCACTCACCCCACATTTACCGAGCACCGTTAGGTGCCAGCTTTCCCACGTGCAGTTAGTGTTAATCAGTGCGGCATCAGCTGTGCAGGAGAAAAAGTCTGTTTTGACTGTGGTCCTCTCACCCCCACAGCGGCCCCGCTTCAGTAATGCCCCTTCCTAGTGTTCCAGGGCTTTCTCACCGCTGCTCTGCCTGCCACTCACATGCTCTGCAAGATGTGGAAGACTCAGGCAGCAAAGCCCCCCCCCCACTTTAGCACCCCATGACCCGCCCTTTACCAGATCCTTTCCCTCCCCCAAACCTCATCCTTCCTGCTTCCCATTCTCTCAGCGTCCTCTCTTCTGCCCTGTGATAGAAGGTATTGGTAGCTACTGAATAGTAACGCTTTCATGGTGACAGGTCAGCAACGCAGGAAGAACTGCACCGTCAGAGTTGAAGTAAAGATACTGCTGTCGTAGGTAGTGTCCGAGTTTCAATTTTCTGCACATTTACTATTTCACTTCTGAAATTTCAAGTTGCACCAGGGCTCTATTTTTCTGAATACTGCTCGGAAAGAATTTGATTTCCTTAGAAACCGAGGAACAAGGGAAAAGTTTAAAACCTTTCCAATTAAAAAAAAAAGTAACAATACTGATAAAAATGTCTTAAAGTTTGTAAATCACTTGATACTTTATACATTTCAAAAGGCCACTGTTATAGACTGAATGTCCCCCGTCCCACCCATTTGTTTGTTGACGCTCCAACCCCATGTGATGGTACTGGGAGGTGGGAATCTGGGGAGGTAGTTAGGTTGAGTTCAGGACATGAGGGTGGGGCCCGATAGTGGGATTAATGTCTTTATAGGAAGAGTGAGAGACACCACAGTTCCACTTCTCCTTCTTTCTCTGTGCTGTGTGAGGGCACAGCAAGAAGGCGGCCATCTGTAAGCCAGGAGCAGAGCCCTTAACAGGATCCAAATCTGCCCGCACCTTGATCTTAGACCGCCCAGACTCCAGAACTGTGAGGTATACATTTCTGTCCTTTACGCTGCCTGGTCTCTGGTATTTTGTTATGACAGCCTGAGCTAAGACACCCAGTCATTTTCAAAATTGCAGACAACAGAACAGAATTCCAGAATCACTGGTAAGGAAATAAGTGTAGGATGGTGGCGAGGGGCGTGCTGCATCTTCAGGCTGGCAGGACAAGCGAAGCTTGGGGCGGCTAGCTGCTGAGCGGACACGTTACGTTCTTAAGTCAACGTCCTTCTAGGGCAAACTTCCAATGGGGGTGGTTTAAAGGTTCTTGTTAGAAATGAAGTTCCCCAGCAAAGACATGCAGAGCATCAGAATGCAGTTAGAAGGATCAGGGGTCAGGATTGGGGAAAAAGAGCAGAACCATAATAACAGGCCAGTAAATAAAATTACTTCATGGGATAGCTATGGGAGAGCAGTTCAATTTGGGGGGGGATGTAGACATAGAAGGAAGCTGTCTACCCAAACATGAAGGGAGCAGACAGGAATATGGTTTGAAAATTCTCTACTCTTCTCTATTTAAACTTGGACATTTATTTCGAACAGACTGCCTTTGCAGTGAACTTGGGTTTGCCCAGTCTCTGATCTTCCTTGCCTATTACATTGTCTTGGGATCACTGCGTGTGAATCTTTTAAACATGCAGAGATGAAATAGTTGGATGTAATCACCCCCCCCAAATTTTAAGTAATGCAAATCTCTTCAAATTAAAAAACAGTCAAGAAACAATTTCAAAGTTTCTGGATCAAGTAAACTGTAAGGTTTGATTCCACTCTGGTATACTGCAGTGTACTATTCGTAACTGCCAGCGTCCCAGGCTCCCGTCGTGTGGCCAGTACTGGGCACACCATGCTGCTGTCTACATGCACTTGAACATCTCCATGTGATTTTGGTTGGTATTATCCTCTTGTTTTAAGATTTACTGCTAATTACAATTTAAAATGTTTTACATCTTCTAACAGTATCATTCACACATTCGTTAAAAAAAATGGTACCTGTGCTAATGCTGAAATGTGGGCTCTGAAAATCCATCACTCTAGAAGAGAAGTTAGATTTAATAAAACATGAAGAAGGCCAAAGGGATATGTCATCCCCAAAATACGCCTCTTTAACATGAAATTATTTTGAGCTAAAGGCAGTTAACACCAGAAATTGACACATTGTAATTGACTGGACTGTACTTCAATTAAAAAATTAATAAATAAAGGCAGTTAAGATGCAAGTAAGTGTAGAAGAAGCTCCCCTTTCCTGTATAAAGGCAGGAAATAAATTCTCCTTTCACTGGAGACAGACTCTTACCGGCAGAGTGGAATCAGCAAACGAACCTTGTTCAGCTAACTCTTCTCATCTCACTTATGTCTTCACCATTTACGACCCTAATTCCAAACCCCTTTGTCTTGTCCATTCTCCACAAATTTACTGTTTGCCAACAAGGTATAAAAGCTTCCTGCTCTGGTCACTTCTCGCGATGTCCCTTCTCCTCAGGAAGGCTCCTGGGCACATGTGAAAATTCAGTACCACGTATATGCTTTTTTCCCTATTAGTCTTCATGAGTTTCATCTTTGGACCCAACCACGGAGCCTCCGAGGACTGAAGAAAACCTCTTTCTTTCCAAGAAGGCCAAAAAGCATAGCCCTGTGCTGTTAGTCTTAGACAGCAGTCTGAGAAATACTGGTGGTGACAGTGGGATGATAAAAGGCAATGTGACAACAAGGACCTACTGTAGAGCACAGGGAATTATATGCAATTCCTTGTAATAACATACAACAGAAAAGAATCTGAAAAGAAAAAAAATATATATATATATATATGTGTGTGTGTGTGTATGGTATATGTATAATTGAATTGCTCTGCTGTATACCTGAAACTAACATTGTAAATCAACTACACTTCAATAAAAAATGTAAAAAAATTTTTTAAAGCAGTGTTATGGCAGCTCTGCCCTGAAACCCACAAGACTGTCATTTAACTAAGCGGAGCGAGTGGAAAAGACCCAGGTGACTTGGCCACAAGAGCCACGCAGCCTTGTTTACCCCAGAGCAAGGCTGGTTATAAATGTGTTTTCCAAGAACCATTGCCTGACTTTACATTTGATCCTAAGGGGAAAGTAGTCCTGAAATAGGCAGCTTGTGATTAAGAGCAGCTGTAAACAAAGCATTTTTCAGCTGTGAAACCCCCAGGCCCAGATGATAGAAATGGACTTTTTCTTCACCCAGCCTGGAGAAAGAAACTATCGGTCTTTTCCTCGATCAAGTCCCAGCTGGGCAGCCCAGGGACTGCCCTCCTCCCACACAGGGCACCCACCCGCCTGTCCGTATGATCTTCACTCTTCATCTGTCTCTGGTGTCCCCACACTCTGCTCCTGAGTGGGGATGCGCTCACCCACTCCAGGAAG